CTGCCCCCCTCTCTTTTCACCAGGTTAGAACAAGGAAAAGAAGGCTGGGTGCAGTGGCTCATGTTTGTAATCCCAACACTTTGGGAGGCTGAGGCGGGTGGTTGCTTGAGCCCAGGAGTTTGAGACCAGCCTGGGCAATATGGTAAAACCTCATTTCTACTAAAAACACAAAAATTAGCTGGACGTGGTGGCGGACACCTGTAATCCCAGCTGCTCTGGAGGCTGAGGCACAAGAATTGCTTGAATCTGGGAGGCGGAGGTTGCAGTGAGCCATCGAGCCACTTCACTCCAGCCTGGGCGACAGAGCTAGACCCAGTATCAAAAAACAAAAAACAAAAAACAAAAAACAAACAAAAAAAACCACACCAAAAACACACACACCCAAGGTGTAGAGAACATAAGCAGCCAACTACTAACCAGAGCAAATTTTAGGTTGACAAGGACAGCAGAATTGAACAGATGAAGTGTGGGATGACTTTGTGGAGCTGCCATACCAGAAGTGGACTGCCAGCTTCAGACATTATATGTCTAAGGTATGGATGTTTTGGGTTTTATGTGCAGCTGAGCTTAACCTAAATTAATACTCTTACCCTCCCACTTACAAACTTCTTTGCCTCACATCTGCCTTTTGGTTTTTGCCTCATGTCCCAATGAATGTGTATCTTCCTTTGTCTAAATCCAGTTCTTCCACTTGGACTTAAAGTTTTGAGTTGTTTTGTTTTTTAATTCCATTTTATGTTATATATTTGGATAGGCAATGCACATAATGCAAAATCAAATGATATAAAGGGCTATATAGTGAGAAGTATTTCTACGATTCTTGTCACCCTACAAATCCAGTTTACCATTCCCAGAGGCAATTGAGGATACCAAATTCAGGGCCGTGCGTCCCAGCACTTTGGTAGGCCCAGGCGGGTGGATCATCTAAGGTCAGGAGTTTGAGACCAGTCTGGCCAACATGGTGAAACCCCATCCCTACTAAAAAACATAAAAATTAGCCAGGCATGGTGGCAGACACTTGTAATCCCAGATACTCGGGAGGCTGAGGCAGGAGAATCACTTGAACCCAGGAGGCAGAGGTTGCAGTGAGGCAAGATCATCATGCCATTGCACTCCAGCCTAGGCAACAAAGTGAGACTCTGTCTCAAAAAAAAAAAAAAAAAAAAAAAAAAGATACCAAATTCACTCATTACCTTTTAGATGTATTATTTTAGTATACACTCAACTGGAAGAAATGGTGGCTGAACATAAAAAAGAATGAGTTAATGTCCTTTGTAGGGACATGGATGAAGCTGGAAACCATCATTCTTAGTAAATTAACACAGGAACAGAAAACCAAACACCGCATGTTCTCACTCACAAGTGGGAGTTGAACAATGAGAACATAGGGGCACAGGGAGGGGAACATCACACACCAGGGCCTGTCGGGGGGTGGGGGCTAGAGGAGGGATAGCATTAGGAGAAATACCTAATGTAGATGACGAGTTGATGGGTGCAGCAAACCACCATGGTACATGTATACCCATGTAACAAACCTGCACATTCTGTACATGTATCCCAGAACTTAAGTATAATTTTTAAAAAAAGGAAGAAAAAAAAATGGTAGCTGAAAAAAAATCTTGCATTAATGAAAACCATTGCTCCACAGATTCAAGAAGTTCAATGAACCCCAAGCACAAGAAAAATAAATAAAATGACACCAGACACATCATAATTAAATTGCTTAGTATTGGTGATAGAAAACCCTTAAAAGTGAACATTGGTTCAAATATCACAGACTCTCAAAACCCATACCAAATTTTAGTAGATTTTCTTGAGTAATCTTCCCTCCCTTCCCCTCTCCTCCTCTCTCCTCACTTCTCCTCTCCTTTTGGAGTCTCTGTCTCCCAGGCTGGAGTGCAGTGGTGGTCTCGGCTCACTGCAACCTCCACCTCCCAGATTCAAGCGATTCTCCTGCCTCAGCCTCCTCAGTAGCAGGGACTACAGGCATGCACCACCACACCTGCTAATTTTTGTATTTTTAGTAGACACGGGGTTTCACCAACGTGGCCAGCCTGATCTCAAACTCCTGACCTCAAGTGATCTGCCTACCTCACCCTCCCAAAGTGCTGGGATTACAGGCGTGAGCCACCGTGCCCAGCCTTCCCTACATATTTGATTCATGATTCAGCCAAAGATTTGGGCCTTTCTCAGGCAAGATGTCATAAAAATGGAATACTCATCTAGTGCCATTCCTCTCTTCCAAGGATCAGCTCCCTTCCAGAATTTGCCTGGTCTTGTTCCATTCCAATATCTTTAGGTAGTTGGGTTTTTGCCCCCAGACTTTATAGTTGTTAGCTGTGATACAGTAAATCCATTAGGATCTGATTGGTTGTATTAGAAGCAGAATCTGGAATTATCTTTTAAGGTCATTTTGGTGACAGGTTGGATAATAAACTTAAGGTACCAGAATAAAGTAAAGACTCATGTTAGAAAATTATTACATTAATTCAGGCTGATGAGGACCTTAACCAAATTAGTTAACAACGAGAATAAAGATGATGAATTAGAGAAAAACCTAAGAAGTAAAATAACTGAATTTTATGGTTGAGTCCACAGGAGATGGTCAAAATACAAAATGACTTTGTTAAGTCATTCTGCAAATCAGATTATACACTGATACAAATTATATGCTGTATTACTTAAGGTATAGGCTCAGCAGCAGTAACAAATGGATATATATTATATATATAGATATAACTTTTCTCCCCTCTCTCTCACATTCTGCAGTTGATCAGTTCAGACTGGAAAGACGACCCTGCTTCACACAATCTCTCAGGTAACCAGAATGTAATCATTTGGTTCATTCACCATCACTAGAGTATTTTTCTTTTTTTTTTTTTTTTTTGAGACGGAGTCTCGCTGTGTTGCCCAGGATGGAGTGCAGTGGCTCAATCTTGGCTCATTGCAACCTCCACCTCCCAGGTTCAAGTGATTCTCCCGCCTCAGCCTCCTGAGTAGCTGGGACTACAGGCGTGCGCCACTACACCCAGCTAATTTTTGTATTTTTAGTAGAGACGGGTTTCACCACATTGGTTGGCCAGCATGGTCTCGATCTCTTGACCTCGTGATCCGCCCGCCTCGGCCTCCCAAAGTGCTGGGATTATAGGAGTGACCCACTGTGTCTAGTCACTGGAGTGTTTTTCTAATGTTCATGGTCAATATAAAATCACCACTATGTACGTGTTCCATCCTGTGGGAAGAGGTAAAGAGCAAGTGGTGGGCAAACAATGTCAACTTTAATTATATGTATAATTTGCACATACCACATCTGCTAATGTCCCAATGACCAAAACCTAGTCATGTGCCCAAAACTAATTACAAAGGAATAGGAGAAACATGGACTCTACAGGGGTAGTCAAAACTTAGAAAGGGATATTGGCTCTATTAGTAAAAGGAAAAGTGGGAGAGTGGATACTGGGGAGCAAGAGTGGCCTCTGTCATTTGTCAACCCCTCTGTGAGCTAGGTATTCATGAGAATCTTTTTTTTCTCCTGCAGAACAAATTTAACCCTTCCTCAAGGGAAACAACCCAAAGTTCCATTCATAGCCTAAATCCAACAAAATGTTCGGAATCTCTGGGTAGCTCTGTTACTGAAAGAAAGGAGGAAAAACTGGACAATAACTGTTTGGCGACCTCCCTCTACTCTTCACATACACAAGCAGATGTGCATGTGTGCGTGTGTGTGTAGCAAAGTATAGTCACAATTTTAAGTATACCAAATGTGGGCCCACAATGTAGTACAATAAACCATAGGAATAATGCAATTTGTGTCATCTGTACAACAGACTTATGTAGAACAAATACAAACTTACAAGGGAGTGCAAACAAGAGGATAAAAGAAGATATAATGATGGTAATGCTTAAAAAGAAGAGGAAAAACAGCACTTGTTTTTTATCCATATAAAGCTGATATAAGATATAATATCAACATATATATTTTGACACAGTGGTTCAGGTTTGTAATCCCAATACTTTGAGAGGCAGAGGCGGGAAGATCACTTGTATCCAGCAGTTTGAGATCAGACTGGGCAACTTAGCGAGACCCCATCTCTATAAATATAAAAATAAAAAATTAGCCACGTATGGTGGCACACTCCTTTAGTCCCAGCTACTTGGGAGAAAAAGGCAGGAGGACAGCTTAAGCCCAGGTGTAAGTTAAAGTGAGCTTTGATCATGACACTGCACTCCAGCCTGGGTGATAGAGAAAGACCATCTCTAAGAAATAAAACAAACAAAAAGGATTATAAAGAAAAACAGATTAACCAACAATTTTACATTTTAAAAATTATATACCGTAATCAAATGGTACTAAATGTAAAATTTAATCATTAAATTCTAAACCTGTAATCTAATGGAGGCCCTTAACAGGAAATACTGTACTTATATTGGACAAAATGAAAACATTAAAATGAAAACATGACATTTACATGATATTCAGTTTGCCTTAACCTAAGTACTATCATTAGTTATTTTAATTCCAAAGCATCAAAATTTTAATCATAACTTTCTCAGAGAATAAAAATATTTAACACGCCACTGCACTCCAGCCTGAGGGACAGAGCCAGATTCCATTTAAAAAAAAAAAAAAAAAAAGGCCGGGCGCGGTGGCTCAAGCCTGTAATCCCAGCACTTTGGGAGGCCGAGACGGGCGGATCACGAGGTCAGGAGATCGAGACCATCCTGGCTAACACGGTGAAACCCCGTCTCTATTAAGAAATACAAAAAACTAGCCGGGCGAGGTGGCGGGCGCCTGTAGTCCCAGCTACTCAGGAGGCTGAGGCCGGAGAATGGCGTGAACCCGGGGCGGAGCTTGCAGTGAGCTGAGATCCGGCCACTGCACTCCAGCCTGGGCAACAGAGCGAGACTCCGTCTCAAAAAAAAAAAAAAAAATTTACATAAATTTTTGAATTAAAAAATAACAAAGTTAAGCAGTGTAAAAATTAGCTTTCCACACATAATTGAAAGATTTGAATTTTTTTTATTATCCCAGCAAACATTACACTAGAGAAAATGATTGGGAAAATACAAATAAGTTCATTAAAAACACAGGCTGATTATTCGTATCTATTACATTCAGAATTATGCAAAACAATTAGTTATATTGCAAAGCTGTAATTCCTTTTCTAACAAAGCATGATTTTATAAAACTTTAGTGTTGCCACTGATTCAATTTTAATACAAAATACTTATATACACAATACAATATAAAAGTAAACTGTGTAGTGCCTTCCACAAAAGGATATATTAAGGCGCTTTACAAATATACCAATATTTTGACCCAAATTACTTTTTGCTTTAGATTAAAATGAACAGGCTAAATGTTCCACTTTAAATACCAAAGGGATTTCTGTTTATTAAATTTTTTGATCTAAAATACCTTGGGTAACAGCAGCAGCAATGTCTACAAATCCTCCCACTGTATTCTCTAATTTCTAACATATTAAGTCAGAATAAAACAATTCCACTCACAGTTTTGCACTTTGCAACAGCAGAAGGTAATAACTTTTTTAAAAAGTCAATCTCAAAGTGACTTTTTAGTCATACATTCTATAGTTTCTATTACAAATAAGAAGGTAGAAAAGATACAGCAGTAGGGCCTGCCTTATGATGTCACTGGACAATACATAACAGTATCTACAATTACATAATTATAGAACACATCTTATAAATACTATTGATATGCATAAAAAGGGTAAGTACAATAAAGACAGCAAGTTTTTATGAGAAAATTATTTTAAAAGAAAACATACAGAACCAACGTTTTCACTCCATTTCAATGGAAAGTATCTATATTTTTAACATTGTTTTTCTCATCTTTTTGGTCAGGAAGCACCAGATTCTATACTGGAAGAAGTAGATGTAGTTTTGGAATAAGACAGCTGATAAGTATATCCAAACTGTTAAAATTGCTGATACCAAAGGCATGTATACTGCTTCAGATAAATGCAAAAGGCTTATAGTATCAGAGGAAATTTTAAAAGAATACATATTTGCGCCAGGCGCGGTGGCTCACGTCTGTAATCCCAGCACTCTGGGAGGCTGAGGTGGGCATATAACTGGAGCCCAGGAGTTCCAGACCAACCTGGGCAACATGGCAAAACCCCATCTCTACTAAAGATACAAAAATTAGCTGGGCTTGGTGGCGCATGCTCAGCTACTTGGGAGGCTGAGGTGTGAGGACTGCGTGAGCCTCAAATGTCGAGGATGCAGTGAGCTGTGAAGCGCCACTGCACTCCAGCCTGGGTGACAGAGTGAGACCCTGTCTCAAAACAAAAAACAAAAAAAGAATACAAAATTTGTAGTGTCTGTTACATTTCAGCAATAGGGGGAATACAGATTTTGTGGGAAGGGAAGGGGGAGGAGACAGCACCTTAGATTTCCTACAACATAAATGTAACAAAGTTATTTTCTACTGTATTGCACCTTAGTCCAAAAGTAAAACAACTAAATGAAAATTTAAATAAATCAGATTGAAAAAGCCCAAAGAGCAAGAGGAATACCTTATAAATGTGAGTACCCACCTAAAAATTCTTGAACTACTTTGTTTTGCATAGGATTTTATGGGACTAACCAAATGTTCCATGAACCATGAGGTGAAGACTGCCATTTCATGAGAGCACATTTTCTTATAATTCCAATTAGAAATCCTTCAGAAATATTTCTGTATCAAGCTTGTAATGAGTCCAACATTTCAGTCCCCTCCAAATGATGCATTTAAAACAAATTAATGTACCAGCAAGAGAGGCATTCATAAGGTCACCTTACATCACATGTTACAGACCTTTTCCATCACAAATTATCAGTTTATATAAGATGTGCTGAGTAGTGATTGGTAAGTTAAAAACAAAGTTCTTAGTTTAATATATCAATTTTCTCATGGGACAGAGGTCCATAACCTAGAGCCTGTGATAGGTTTCAATATGTCCAAAATCCCTTGAAATTGCATGCAACATTGTATGTGTTGATTTTTTTTTTTTCCTGGGAAGAGTCCACAGCTTCCTTCAGATTCTCAAAAGAACCACTAACCCCGAAAGACCCATGATAACATAGTAGTAGGTTTCCAAGCTGAGTTCTGAAAGGACCACCTGTAGAAAGGTGGAAAGTGTGGGCTAGTAAGTGTTCTTTGCCCTGACTCTCCAATTCAACTGCAACAGCTCTGCCTTTAATTTTACTACATATATGGTTTCAATTAGCTTTTACGTGAAGAAAGCTAAAAGTATGAAAATCATTAAAATTATGCCTCCAATCCCCAAATAGTAACTTTTGATAAAAACAATCCCTTATCAATGGAGCTTAAGAAAAGGAAATAAAATACAAATTTTACTATGGTCAAAATAGAGCCTTTTTCCCCTTCCTAAAAGATAAGCTCATGTATTTTGGTATGAAACCTTAATCTTCCTTAGAACCTAAGCATTATACATAATAGGCATGTTGAACACATTGTTTAACCTTAAATAAATTAGGAGGACTTGAATTTTCTACTAAGACCACTCTGTAAATTTTTCTAATTATTAATGGCCATCTTAAGAGTTAATTTTTTCACCAATTAATCTGCCCTTAGGTAAAATATTGCCAGATAGCCAGATTTTCCTTTGCCAATAACAATCTGTATATGCAGCACTGTTCTGAAAGAGGAAACAGGTAACATTGATAACATAATCAAAATAGTTACTATACAGGAAAAGTATATGAACATGAAAATAATTCTTTGCTTAGGATGGTGAAAAAAATTTTAGCTTTCAGTACTGAAAATTTTTATTTATGGCAGCTTTGTTCCCTTTTAAAATTGGAAGCAGCATCAAAAATAACAATATGGAAAAAAAGCTAGTAGTGCTTTGGCTTCTTTTAAAGCCAGTAATTCTTGAGAAATAAACGCAAGAAGATTAAATATTCCATGGGGGCGGGGAGATAAATGCATTATCTTTCCTCCTGACAAACATATTAATATTTTTTAACCCTGTATTCCTTAGTTTCAGGATGTGAATTATACAGATTAAGATTAGCCTAGGAACACTCACCAACACAATGGCTTAATTTCTCTAGCTTATTTTGTACCAAAAACAAGGTTATGAGGGGAAAAAAGAGCTCTGTAAATACGGGGTATGTTTCATATTTGGTTAAAGCAAGATAAAACTAAAACTGTCTTTCAAAAAAATTTCAAAAACTCTTGTCTTTTAAAATTATTTAGCATATATACAAATAGATACCAGATTTCTCCTTTTAAACAAAGCACTACTTATTTTAAGTACTTTAAGTACCAAGAACTGACTGTAATATTCAGTTCATAATTTACTTTTCTTATAACAATTTTTTTCTAAATACTGATTTAAACGGCTGGAATAAATTAACATTTTAAAAGGATTTCCCATAATTTAGGAAAATACAATATTGTACACAGAGCACACATATATAGCTCTGTCATATTTGCATAATTTTACTCTCAGAACCTCAAAACACCTCGCATTTCAGGCCCTTTTGCAAATTTTCATTACATTTATTTACTAGTGTGTTAAACATATACTAGATCGCGATTTTTAATCTCTGAGCCTGTGTTTTGATCATCTTCATCCGACTGCTGCTCTGAGCCTTGTGAATTAATGTATTCATATTCAATAGGCTTCGGATAATTATATGGGTAGCCATTGTCATCAAAAAACCTTCGGAAGGTAAATTCATAGAATGCATGTTCAGGATGCTTCCCATTTTTATACCATCCATTGAGAGTGTCATTTACATTTTCTTCCTCGTTATCGTCACTCCATAACTTATCAGGATCAACAGGATCAAAATTTGATGTATCTGTTGGGTGTGTGATTTTAGGAATGTATGAAGCAGATTGCTGTCTCAGGTCACTGGAGAAATCAATTGTTTTAAAAAATGGATGAGCTTTTATTTCATCAGCACCATTCTTGCCTAAGCGATCTTCGGGTCCTCGGCAAAGTTTAATAATAAGATCAGAAGCTTCAGGACTGAGTTTAGCTTGTGGTGGAATGTGAAGAGATGTTTGCCAGTTGATAACCTTTAAAGATTTTTTAAAATTAGGGGGAAGAGACAAATTAGAAAAATAAAACTTTCCTTCAAGTTTTATACCAAAAGTCTCACTGGGCTATTTTTGTATTTTAAATAAATTACATGATATTTTGCTGGAAAATAATTTGTTCTCCTATCCCATCCTCTCCAGGCAACTTCTACTCACATTATAAGACTCAGTGTCAGTTTTAATCTCCCCTAGTAAACCTTTTTGCCTATGGTAGAAATGACTACTTCTACTCTGCCTCCCCTCTACCATATATTTATTTCTATCACATTTCTAATACCGTATGGTACCTATTTATGTTTATGTCCTACTGAAATATAAAATTCCATTAAGGCTAGGGATCATGTTTTAGTGGTCTTTGTATCTCCTAGTGCTCAGTAAATTGCCTGGCACATACTTAATACATTATGATAAAACTTTTTCTGGTGCCAAGTGTGGTGGCTTGTCTGTAATCCCAGCACCCTGGGAGGCAGAGGTGGGAGGACTGCTTGAAGCTGGGAAGGTTCAAGACAAACCTGGGCAACAAAGCGAGACCCCCTCTCTACCAAAAAAAAA